AAAAAAATAGAAAGACGTATCATGATTAATTGCTTGTGTATAGCAGTTTCTTATTTCTCTAGTTGCTATTAGGAGTTGATTTCCCCTTTCTTTATTATTCCTCCTTAGAAACAGCGCTTCTGCTCTTGGACATATTCATAGAGTGGAGTGCTACTACGGAAACTCTGAGAACTTGGGCCTGTACTGTCTTTTCCATAGCTATCTCCTATCAGGTAATAATTGCCCCCTTGTCCATACACCTCATTGCTAATGGATAATTTATTGGTAGTACTGGATGTAGACTGTCCATAGTAGGGTGTACATTGCCCAAAGCCACAACCCGAGGAACTTTCTACTTTTTCAGAACTACTTCCTGATTGTCCTTCACTACCATTTGAATGTCTGCAGGTAGGTTTCCACTGACCCTGACTACATCCCTGACTTTGTTGGCTATATTTTCTTGATTGTCCGTGAATACCCTCAGAATCAGCAGAATCACTACCTGATTGACTATGATTCCTACTTCTCTCTTTTTGGTTATTCCTTGTCCATTCATGGTGACTTCTTCTTGAATTATTGGGGATGGAGCCCACATTGGGTCTATTATACTCATTATGAGATCCACTTGAATGTGTCCTGTATCTACCTTGTAATTCATGTTGCTCGTGGCTAGACCATTGATCAGATCCAGAATCATATTGTTCAGAGCCAGAGGAGTGACAAGACCCAGACCCGTACTGCCCAGAGCTAGACCATTGACCTGAGCCAGAGTTATGTTGACTGTGACTAGAATATTGGCCTAAGCCTGATCCATGAGAGCCAGGGTAAGATGATTGTCCTGATCGAGAATTAAGTTGGCTGTGGTTAGAACACTGACCTGAACTAGACTCATGCTGACCAGATGTCGAAGACTGATTTGAGCTAGATCCATGTTGACCACCGCTAGAAGAAAGACCTGAGCTAGATCCGGGTTGGCCACAGTTAGAAGACTGACCTAATCCAGACTCATGTTGAATATGTCTAGAAGAATGACGAGAACCAGATCTGTGTTGTCCATATCTAGAAGACTGACTTGAGCTAGATCCTTGTTGGCCACAGCTAGATGATTCTCCTGAACCAGACCCATGTTGGCTATGACTGGAAGAAATACCTGAGCCAGACCCATGTCTAGTAAGACTAGAAGACTGACCTGAGCTAGATGTATGTTGACTAAAGCTAGTAGACTGAGCTGAGCTTGATCCTCGGCCACAGTTAGACGAATGACCTGAGCCAGACTCATGTCTATCATGACTAGAACACTGACCTGAGCTTGACCCATGTTGACCACTGGTAGCTGACTGTCCTGAAGCAGAACCATGTTGAGTATGAGTGGAAGAATGACCGGGGCCAGACTCATGTCTACTATGACCAGAAGACTGACCTAAGCCAGATTCTTGTTGACCATTGGTAGTAGACTGACCTGAGCTGGATCCTCGTTGGCCACAGCTCGAAGAATGACCTGAGCCAGACTCATGTCTCTCATGACTAGAAGACTGACCTGAGCTTGAGACATGTTGACCATGCCTAGAAGACTGACCTGAGCTAGATCCATGTTGACCACTGGTATCTGACTGTCCTGAACCAGAACCATGATGACTATGACTGGAAGAATGACTTGAGCCAGACTCATGTCTACTATGACCAGAAGACTGACCTAAGCCAGATTCTTGCTGACCATAGCTAGAAAACTGACCTGAGCTGGATGCTCGTTTGCCACAGCTAGAAGAATGACCTGAGCCAGACTCATATCTCTCATGACTAGAAGACTGACCTGAGCTTGACCCATGTTGACCATGCTTAGAAGACTGACCTGAGCTAGATCCATGTTGACCACTGGTAGCTGACTGTCCTGAACCAGAACCATGTTGACTATGACTGGAAGAATGACCTGAGCCAGACTTATGTTTACTCTGACCAGAAGACTGACCTAAGCCAGATTCTTGCTGACCATAGCTGGAAGACTGACCTGAGCTGGATCCTTGTTGACCACAGCTAGATGACTGTCGTGACCCAGACCTTTGTTGACTATGGCTGGAAGAATGAGTTGAGCCAGACTCGTGTTTTCCATTGCTAGAAGACACATATGAGCTAGATCCTTGTTTGGCACAAGTAGATGACTCTCCTGAACCAGATCCATGTTGGCTATGACTGGAAGAAATACCTGAACCAGACACATGTCTAGTATGACGTAAAGACTGATCTGAGCTTGACCCATGTTGACCATGCGTAGAAGACTGACCTGAGTTAGATCCATGTTGACCACTGGTAGATGACTGTCCTGAACCAGAACCATGTTGACTATGACTGGAAGAATGACCTGAGTTAGACTCATGTCTACTATGACCAGAAGACTGACCTAAACCAGATTCCTGCTGACTAAAGCTAGAAGACTGACCTGAGCTGGATCCTTGTTGACCACAGCTAGATGACTGTCGTGACCCAGACCTATGTTGACTATGGCTGGAAGAATGACTTGTGCCAGACTCGTGTTTTCCATTGCTAGAAGATACACCTGAGCTAGTTCCTTGTTTGCCACAAGTTGATGACTCTCCTGAACCAGAACCCTGTTGGCTATGACTGGAAGAAATGCCTGAGCCAGACCCACGTCTAATATGACTAGAAGACTGACCAGAGCTAGATCTATATTGACCATTGGTAGAAGACTGACCTGAGCTGGATCCTTGTTGGCGACAGCTCGAAGAATGACCTGAGCCAGACTCATGTCTCTCAGGCCTAGAAGACTGACCTGAGCTAGATCCATGTTGACCACTGGTAGCTGACTGTCCTGAA